TACACTAAGTATAGAAATGCTAGATACTCATTTCTATTATCTCCCACTTCTTTAATTTTTTTATTAGTTAAAAACTTATTGGCTTTTAATGAAATCATTGTATTTTGATTCTTCATTTTAATTTTTGTTGGTTTTATTTTCTATTTATTAGGTATGTTAATCAACAAATTTTTTTTGATGATTTTCAGTAACACTTGAACGTAAAGGAAGGAAGTAGTTGTGTTATCCAATTTCACCATATTACTGAAGCATTTGAGGTAAGTTTTTTATTTTACCACCAAAAGTTTTTTATGTTATCACCAAATTACTGAAACATTCTATCATTTTTATAGTGAATTATAATGAAAAAACAAATGAGATTTGATTAGTTTTTCTAGAATTAAAGTTATAGTTAAATATTAAACCAACATATTTCTTAAGAATTTTATTTATAACGTAGGGATAAAAGCAAAATATTATAAGAATATATAATCAAGATAGAACATATATGAATCTTTCTTCTTGATGTATGTGGCGTTCAATACAATAAGATATTTTCCTTTTTTTATTTAATTAATTTCTATGATGTGAATATATTTTGATAATTCCTTTTTTATATATTTACTAGTATTGTTGTATTTGTTAGTAAGAAAAACAATAGTGAAATAACCTCTTATGGCTTAGAAAAAAAATTCCCCTTAAACTTTTATGGGCAAAGGACATAAATTACATTCTTTTAAGGTAAAATTATCATTTGTCCTTTATAAGTTTATAATTACACAAATCCGTCAAATTGATACAATAATATAACCGATGATACATTAATCTGATGCGCGGATACATTAAGCGTTAAGTAATTACATTTTATACATGATACACTAATCAGATGTACATTTTATACATGATGTAACACTCCGAAAGTCCAAAACCTAATTTAGAGCCTCACATGAGTGTCTAAGGTTTGTAACACTGTTTTAAGGTCAAAATGATGTTTATAAGTCATTTAGAATGTTTTAGAGTCAAAACATCAAGGAACGTCCATGACGTATAGAGACTAGTGAAAGATGTGTCTGTGTGCCTTAGCCAATTTCACGAGGTTTTAGTAGTCGAAATTTTATGAAATTTATTGAAAATGTGTTAAACACGTATTAGGACATTTTTAGGGTATAAACGTCTGAGTACAAATCCCCAAGGACCACCCTAGGGGTCCTTGAAGAGGACCCTTCCGTTTTGGCCAAAAAGCTGTCACTAGGCAGTGTCTACCTACGATTGCAGGTTGCAAGGCGTAGGTGGATCAACGGGGCGTTGATGCCTTTGTCGACCAACACTTATCCACTTTTCCAAAGTCAAAATCATGGACTCTGACCAAAACGACAGTGTGTAGGGGGTTGGGGGAGTTGTAGACTGACCTAGTGACCGTAGGTCGAAGCCTCGTAGGTCGAGTGTGTTAGTTCACTGTTAAGTTTTAAATGGTTCAACTAATTAGTTAATTAGTTAGGGGAGTTAATTAAAGTACAAGGGCTTGTTAATTAGGTATCGACCCTAAGCCTAAACCCAACTTAACACTTCATTTTTCTCAAATCCAAATTACTCTTCCTTCTCTCTACTTTCTCTCTCCCAAAGAAGACTCCATAAGAGACCATGGTATAAGGGTTCTGGGGCTTCAAGAAGGTTACTTTTCTCCATAAATCTTCAAGTAAAATTAAGATATGAGAACCTTTCACCTTTGGTGTTCATTTCTGCAAATCGAAATTGGTTTTAAAATGATGATTTTCATATGGGTTCCTTCTTAATACATATTTGATCTTCTAAATTGTGTTGTTTATGGTTTCCTTTTATTATTATTATTAGATTATGTTGTATTATTTTTCAATTAAATTGGTTCTTGATGAATTAACCTAGTATGTGGAATAGATCATGAAATGACACATATTCACTAACCCTAGGTGATGAACTCATGTTGAATTGATTAGTATTAATGTAATTGAGTTATTTATTGTGTTAATTACTATTGAGTTTTTTACACCTATGTATGGATGAAATTGTATTTGTTGAGGGTAAGACCAATGATGATGACTTTTGAAGGAAAAATAGGTAAGACTTGTGATTTTGATCCTTTACTTCAATTGGATGGTCTTTACTTGGTGATGAAGTTCAAATGAAGCATGTCTTGTGACTGAATTATATATGTGTTGGTATGATGATGAAATTAAATCTTATTGATTATTTGATTGTCAGATTATGCTTAAGAAGTAATGATATAAGGTTGGTTATAAATTGCATGTGTGCTTTATTATGATTTGATGATGATGATCGGATAATCTCACATATGAGGGTTGTATTGAAAGGATATTATCATGCAACTCCTATTGAGATAATGATGATGATATACAAGGGGTTAGTCTCTTATGACCTAAACTAAGCAATAATGAATAATAAAGGCTTAAAGAAAAATTTCAAAAGGGTATCTAGCTTAGCACCGAGTGAACTAGTAGTGAGGAGTGTCCCTTGCAAAGTAGGAAAGGTAGTTTCACTATTGTAATTATGATATTGGAGGCTATTATCCAATGTGCATAAAGAGTGTCCCAAGCATATTTCCTATTTCATGAACTATGTTTCCCTCGTAGGAATACTAGCTAGTGGATCCACCTAGAATGCTATGTTCATGTTTTGGTACTACCTTGGCAAGTAGTCCACCTTCTTTCGGTATAGGATTTCATGACACCGGATTCAATATTTAGATCTTGTGGTCTATGTCAATTGAAATTTACAATGTTTTCTTTCTTCTTTTTCAATTTCTTATGTTGAGATATATTGATTATGAACATGACTCGAGTTATTGTGATCCTTATGTATTCTAGCTCTCTTATATGTGCATTAAAGGATTTCAAATGACTTAGCATGTTTTTTTTAAAGTAAATGTCCCTTTCTCATGCATTCTTTTAAGTGTTTTATGTGCATGTTTTCATACTTAGTACAAGTAGTGTGCTAACCCATTTTCCATGTTTTCTACAACTATGTAAGTTCTGTCCGTTGAGCTTTTAGAGGGCCATTAAAGAATGCTTGGAATCCTATTCTCCTGGTTTGGTAGGTCCGCACCTCCCGAGGACGATACCACTATCTAGCTATTGTTGGTTTTAAGACAATTGGTTCTTTCCCTTTTTCATTGAAGATGATTGTTGTATAAGCCTATATGTGGCTATTGTTGTAATGAAGTATGGGCTATGCCGAAATGTTGTATTCCTTCTAGATGGTTTAATATGAGACATATACTAGTCTTCCTATGAGATTATGTTCCTATATTCTGTATGTGAAATAAAAGTAGAAACCTATGTAGTGCTTCCTATTGCGAGGAGTCTATGTACACTCCTTATGTATATATTACGTATAAGAGAGAGGTGTATGTAAACCTCAATGTAGAGGTTTTAATTTTCCGTATTTTTAACCTATGATATGTTATGTCAAATTCTAAGAGGCTAGTCTTAGTTCTCTTCGAGGACGACGACGCTAGTTACATTAATGGGTGCTCCCCGGATGTGATACATGATACACTAATCTGATGCGCGAACATTAATATGATGCGCCAAATACATTAATCTAATATGCTGATACATTAGTTTGATGCTCGAAAATGAGGAATTTTAGAGATTTGTAAAACTAGAGGATAATGTTAATAAGAGAACTTAAATGTGAGATTTATGTCATTTTTGTAATTTTTTATACCATTTATTTATAAATATTTATGTGCTATTATTTTTTAAAATCTAAAGTCATCATCTTTTCAGATTCTTTTTCCCACCACTTATAGCTACCATCCCCCAAATACTATTTATTATTTCTCTCCTTATTTTTTCTTTTACAATCCTTTTTTCTACTTTTATAATTTCATATGTATTTATACTTTAAATGTTCTAGCATTTTTCAATTATTTCTCTGTTAATTTTTGTATTTATTTGCCTACTGTATGATTAATGAATTTTGCTTTTTTTAGTATATATTTAAATTCTTTTCAGTTGAAAATAGTGAAATTATTGTTCTAATTATTATTATTTATACTCAATTTCTTTTCTACTTTTCATTTTCATTGAATTCATGTTGAATGGTTATGCTTTTTAACAATATTTGTAACTTTTTTTTGCTTAAATTGCTTGAATTATGCTTAATAAGTAAACATTTATGACGTTTTCTTTCTTCTTTTTCAATTTCATTATTTTTATCGTGTTTTTCTTCTGTTGTGCAGGTTGATTAATATGTGTATTTGTTGTACATGAATTATTTTATTTGTGAGATTATTGTTATGTGGAATTGACATTTGTTGTAGTAATTATTACCTATAGAACATCTGAAACCTATCATAAAGAATTGAAATCGATGTGTCATTATGTTCTGAATGAAGTTTGATTGCAGAAAAAAATCAGTACAAAATTATTTCATATAAATAGAGGTTAGTTAATTTTATATTGCATTATTTAGTTTGATTTATTTTACTTTTTGTGTAAACCATATATAAGGAACAATTGAAGGAATAAGGACAATTATTTTTATATTTGATAAATTTTTAAAATTTGGTTTCTTTGTACCTAAACAATATGAAGGAAAAAAACTTTTGAATGATTCCTTGCTATGATTTAATTCTACTTTCTTCTGTTGTGGAGAACTTTTATTTATTTATTTGTGATTAGAATTGTGGAGCGAGTGAACTACAAAGAATATTGAATGTCTTATTGTTATGTATTTTTTGAAATTTTATATTCTGTTCTCCATCACAGTTTTATAATAAAAATTTATGAAAACCTACATTGAGAACATATGTAATAAAGGTATAATTTAGTTTGAACCTACATTATTAGAAATTAATTTTAAAAGAATTTTTTTTTATGAATACAAATTTGATTTAGCTAACAAGTTCATATTTTTCATCCAATTATCCTAATTTTATTATTATTATTATTATTATTGTTGTTATTATTATTATTATATTAATAGACATGTGTTGCATTGTAAGTTGTAACACCTCGCTATGTGAAAGAGGTAGAATTGCAAAGAGTCATTTTTGAAATGAATGAAAAATCAGGAAATTTGTTTAAGTTATGTTAAGTTTGAGTTTTAGTTCAATTTCAAGCAATCATAACTTATAGCTCAGGATGAGTTAGGTGTGCTAAAAGATTCCTTAAGAAATATCTTTGAATTATCTTTTCAACAGTGCTGAGTTTGTGCGATTTCGAATTAGCATGAGGGATATATGCCCATTTGAAGTTGGGCTATCTTGATAAAGAAAGTTAAAATTAGACTTTTAAGGGGCATTTTGGTCTTTCCCACAGCCAATTGTTTAATTTATTTTTTAGTGATTTAATTAGGGTCAAAACTGAATTGGTTCAGTTTGCACAATTGAAAATTCACGCTTGGGCTTTAGAGAGAAGAACTAAAGAGAGAATAGAAGAGGAAAACTCAAGATTTCTTCGTCTTCGTGAGGAATCGTTTGCGGATTTCGTCAAGGATTCTTTCTTACAAGGTATCTGAAACTTTAAAAAAGTTGAGTTTGTTCACCCAAGTGCCAAGTATGTTTATTTCAACATGATTTTGTTCTAAAAATATTGGAGGTTTCAATTTTCTTGAAGGATGTTCTTTAATTGCTTTCTTTCATGAATTTGGGTTGAGATTGAGGAGTTCTTGAGAGTTTAATGTAAATTACTAGAGTTGATTTGAGTTAGATTCTTATGTGAATGTATTGGGTGCCTGAATTTAAAGAGATATCAAGAAAAAGAATAGGAAATAATCGAATTAAGGTTTGAAAAGGAGAGAAAAATTCATCAGATTCGCCTAAGGAATGCTGGTGCGGCGCCCCCTGTGTTGAAAGGAGGGTTGGGGCGACGCGCCAGCAGTTCAATAAAAAGTGGTCTCCAAACTTTAGGGGCTGATGCGGGGCGCCCGCATTGCGCCAAGTCTGTCCGCACCAACACACTTTTCATCGTTTAGCCCGTTTAAGTCCTTCTAAGATTTACTAACATTTCTCATTGATTCTAACTACTCAAAATGACTTCTAAGTATATAGAAATCATCCATAAACGTGAATTGTAATCATGAATCCATAACTTCAAAAATTCCAGGAAATATAAGAGCCAAATCTAGAAAGTTCATTGAGCCATTAAAAGAAGTCTTTTACAAATGTTTTAAATTTGTTTTAAGACTTGTTTTTGAGTTAGGTAAGATTAACAAATGATTTTTTTTTCCAAAAATATTATATGAGAACTAAGTATTGCCAAAGAGTAATTGTTTTCATATTTAAACAAGAGAGGAAACTCTAATATCTAAGAGAGCTTTTGAGCTAGTTTTTGAGTATTATCTTAAACCACAAAAAGAGTTTTTGTTTTAAACATTTGAGCAGAGTATTTTAGTATTAGTACAAAGCACTGATAAGGGTACGAGTTCATAACAACTCAATGTCTCCATAAACCATGTAGTAATCGTGGGTAGAAAGGGTAGCGTAGACTAGTGGATACACTTAGTTGAAGTGTTTTGTATTCCGAGAAGTTATATGACAGTTATGGCAACGAGGGCAAGATGTTGTATCATTACTTTAGCTCAAAACAATTGTTGTCGGTTAAAGAAACTCCTACAGAATAAGATTTTTCTACTATATATGTAGATTGAGTTGTTACTTACTGTTTTAAATGTTTTTTATAAACTAGATCTTTAGTTTTGTTTATTTATGCGTTGAGTGAGTATCCATGAGTTGATAATTAATTTCAACCTTATGTATTGTTTGGTTTTCCCCTCACATGCTCGTACATTAAATGTACAAATACAATTTGGCTTGCATAATTTTATGATGCAGATACAAGTAATCAGGATCATCATCCAGCGCTACATTGATCCAGTGGAGCATCTCAGAGTTTGTTGGTGAGCTACTTGCTTTTCAAAAGTTCCCTTTGGTTATATTTTATTTTATTTCTTTTGGATACTTTAGTTGTTTTGGTGATCAAGGGTCTTGTCCCAACATATCTCTTAGTATCTAGAGGCTTCATAAATAGTTAGATATGAGTTCTTTAGTCATATTCATTTAGCTGTTTGTTTTAAGACTTGTGTATGCTTTATTGGCTAGTGTTTTCTTTATAACATTGTAGTTTTTATATAAGTCTATCTTTGTTCCATCAAGTCTTCCCTTGAGTAGTAAGCCAAACCAAGGGTTCGCTTGAGGCCAATACTGATTTTAGAGTACCAGTCCAGCCCAGGGTGTAGGCTCGGGGCGTGACATGCATCTTTATTTATCACTCAAACTGATTTTATCTAAAATATTATAGAATAAACTCATTTAATTTTTTTACAAAATAATCGCGTGAAGCGCCATCGAGTTCCCTAGTTGAGAAAATAAATCAATAAGAACTAAAAATCCTAATATTGAATCTCTAATGTCTGACATAAATGAGATGCAACGGTGAAACTTAAAACAAATAACCCATAGTATAAGAATGCCTTATTCTAAAAATATGGACAAGATCAATAGAGGAATTGTTCATCGTAGAAGAATAGCTCACGCCTCAAGTCAAAGTTAGACGTTCCTAATTGAAGTCCCGAATCATCTATTGAGAGACATCACATACTCAACAAGGAAAGAATAGGTGCAATATCAATACACAAACCACAATATAAATGTAAGCAATTTACCTCGATATAGCAGTATAAGTCCATACATATAACACAATCACCCAATCTGAGTCACAAATCATGAAGAAAGAAAATTATATTCTTCAAGCAATATAACAAAAAAACATGCATTCTGAGAAATTGATTTTTGTGATATGGAGGGAAGACAAATTAAAATTTGTCAAATTCTTTTTTATCTTGCCATGTGTTTTTTTTTATTATGCCACCAATTGGCCTAATGGGGAGGTTTTTCCTCTCCTTTTAAATTTTAATAGTCTTAAGATAATTGTAATATAAAGAGAGAGTTTTCACACTAGTGGAAGAAGCCATCTTTTAGGTTCTTTTAAAGTCTAGCTCATTTAGTCTCTCTCTCTCTCTCTCTCTCTCTCTCTCTTTCTCTATTAAAATGTAAAATAAATTACTAAATTTATGACAAATAAATAATTTACAACAAAAACTCTTCACATTTTATTTTTTTATTTTTTTGTCTCAATTATAATAAAGAAGAAACATTATTTATTTTCTTTAACCTTTTCTTGTTTCATTATTCAAGTTAATTACTGTATAGTAAAAGTAAAATACTAAATTTATTTCAAATAAATATTTTATTAATGGAAGAAATTTTACAACAAAGACTCCCAGATTCTTTTATTTTTTTGTTTTCTCACTTATAATCATGAAATGATATTTTTTTTAATTTTAAGTATTTTTGTCTTTATTTTTTAATTTATTCACAAGGATTTATTACCCATGACTTATCCATCTTTAATTTATACTTTTAATAATATTCATAAATTTCATAAATTTTATGTCTATAACCTCCAAACTTAAATTTGTAAGTTTATGATGTCATAGGATATTCCTCCTCTATTTTGCCTGTAAATTCATATTAGTTTCAGGAAGATTCACATTCAAAATCATCCTTTCTCATTCAGACTTCATCTCTCAAAATATCTTCTCTCTAGAACTCCATTGGAATCAAGGTCAAGTTCAAGGTAGAGTTGAGGTATTTCAAGGTGTTTCTTCTTTAATTTTATGGGATTCTTCAAGTATAAGGTATGGTGATGCTTCATCTAGGGATAGCTTTGATCACTAGAGTCAATTTCCAATGTTTTCAAGTTCAAGAGAAATATCAATTTTACTCAATCTCATGGGCTCTTGCATCAAATGTTTTCAATGATAAATTAAGATTATATTGATGTTTAGTTGATGGTTTAAGATGAAAGAATCTATGAACCCATGAATTCTCTAAATTTCTCAAACTGTGCCTTATGATGCGGGTCACTAATTATGAATGGATGTTATGAATATCACGCCTCGAGCCTACACCCTGGACGTCACTGGCACTTGAAGACCATTTTTGATCCCAAGTGAACCCCTAGCCTAGCATACATAACTCAGTGGAAGGCAATAATCACATTTATAATGATCAAAGAACATAAGTGAACTAATTTTCAAGGATTAAACATTCAACTTTACTAGAAATGGCAACCCAAGTCTTAACAATAAGAAAAGATAAAGAAAAGACTAAAGGATCAACATCTGAATGTCTATGAAGCCTCTACAACAACTGAGGTGGATATTCGGAATAACCCCACAAAATTTTAATGAACTAACAAGATAGCGGTGAAAATAAGTTTTCCAGAATGCAAGGAGGATCATCGACGGACTCTGAACTGCTCACTAGATCAACGGTATGCTTGAATACCGATCCTAGTTACATGAGTATGCATCATAAGACTATGCACGCCAAATAAAACACTACTAAAAGTGTATATAAAAATTGTTTTAAAGAAAAATGATATAAATCACACCATTAAGTTCTCTTATTACCATTATCCCTTATTAGTTTTACAAATTCGAAAATCCCTCATTTTTCACTCATCAGAAAAATGTACCAGTATATCAAATTAATGTGAATCAAATTAATGTATCAACTCATCAGATAAATGTATCTCGCACATCAAATTAGTGTATCAAGTATAAAATGCACATCAGATTAGTGTATCATGTACAAAATATAATGTATCTTACTTAAAGATTGATGTATCTCGCGTATTAAATTAATGTATCAACGCTTATCAGATTGAGGGATTTCTGTAATTATAAACTTTTAAAGGGAAAATGATACTTTTTCCTTAAAAGTATGTGATGTTTGTCCTTTACTCTATTTTTAAATAGTCATAACCCATGGGCTGACCTATGAGGATTGCGAATTGGGCCTACAAGGCTAGCGATCCAAATGCTTTTGGGATAAAAAGCCTCGGTCCTATATGACCCAAAAAAATTAGTCAGAACCCCACTTAATTTATGGGTTGGGTTGGATCAGTCAGCCAAGCCCATTTTGACAACTCTACTTGAACCTAATCATGATAACCACTACTACAATGGAGAAAAGAGGGACAATGTTGGAAGTACAAAAAGTCCATCAGAGTGATGATATTAGAAACGATGAGTTTTAGGAAGAGATGTATAGAATATTTGATGACATATCTGATTATTGATTGCAACATTAATTCGTTTAACAAGATATATAATACATAGTTCATTAAATGGGTTATTCAGTTGAATAATTTTTTTTTGTGTATATATATATATATATATATATATATATATATTTCCATTTTAATTTGCCTCTATATATGTAAATGTTCTGATTATTCTTATGTTCTTATTGTAGTAAGAATTGTTACAATATTTATCTTTTATTTCTCTTTGTATGCCAATTTTACAAGAATTACATGTAGAAGAGCAATCCGTGTTTAGTTTAAAACCAACATCAGGAGGACAATAACCTAATTACTATCAAATAACTATGTTCCTCCGATAGTATATGTAATATTATAGTCAAACGGGTAATATCAGTATCAACAATAATATAACATATGTGTAGTAATAAAAATAATAATAGTATTTGAATCCCCAAAAATTTTAAAAATCTTTAAATAGAAAAACACATGTACGTATATATATATATATATATATATATATATATATATATATATATATATACACACATATATGAGCGTGACATTGATGAAGAGTTAATTAATATTATGAACAGAAGGTAATCTATGAATTCCCAAGTTTCAGCAAAAATAAAATACCAACATCTACTTCATCTTGGATATATAGCTAATATTTGCCTAATTACGCGTTGTAGTTATAGTTTTAGTTGACCTAGATATTCTATTGTACATTCATGCTTTTATCAATTAATACACTTCTTACATTCAATTTTATTTGGTAAATTATGGGGTTAAGCAAAATTATACAACTGAATTACTCATCATAGCTATAGTTTGCTATAATTACCACTACCAACCAACATTATACATTAATTACGTGAGCTGACTTTGACTTTGTATAATTAACCACATTTGTATATGTATAATTTTCCTGAATATAAAAAAATATGTATTCTATATAATTATCTAACCAATATAAATATACAATTCACCTCTCTCCAACTCTCTGCCCTCTCTCGCTAGCCTCTCTCCTCCTCTCCCAATCTTGCTTACCATTCATACAAATTCACATGTATAATATTTTATCATCTAAATGCTAGGCATATAAAATTTACCTCTCTCCCACTCTCTACCCTCTCTCGCACAACTCTAATTCCTCTCCCAATCTCGCTCGCCTCCCTCATTCCTCTCCCAATCTCGCTCATCTCTCTCCTTCTCTCCCATTCTCGCTTGCCAAATATACAAAGACGTATGTATAATATACAATTATCTAGCCGTTATACATATATAATTCACCGCTCTGCCATTCTTTGACCATTCTCGCTCTCCTCTCTCCCCTCTCTCCTAATTTGGCTCACCTCTTTCCTCCATATGACTTGTAGCTACGAATTACAATTATCAAAATATAGGTATGGAGAGTACTTAGGCTATTTTTGAGTTTCTATATGTAAGTTCCATATTTTTGTTAAACGAGTAGCGATTTCGATTAAAAATTGGTAAACAATCCGCTAAACAATGAAATATATCTTATTAGTGTTACATACCAAATATGACTTCCTCAACATCAACAACAAAATTCTTTTTGGCTTCACGATATCGATGAGTGTAATTAAAAAAAAATCAATTGTTTCTTTGTTCGTGATACAAAAGGTATACGACACATTGTATTCATGTATTTTTTTTGTGTTCTGAATCAATCAGATCAAGTTACTTTTAGATGAATTGTGTAACTTGTTGGAATTATAGAAGATTGATTAGAAGAATGAAAAATTAAATTTTCTAGTAGTGTCTAATATGCAAGACCCATAATTAATGTTAAATAATTATGCAAAAAAAGGTATTTTTAATTTCATATGATTGCCTAATCAGTACTTATTTTCCAAGTAGATACATAATAAAGTGCGACCTAGCAACCTGAAATATGAGTGTAACATCTGACCAATTGAGAGAGTTAGGAAGAAGCTCAGAAGTTGAAATAGTCACTTTTGGAATAAATTCGAATCTGGAAATTTTCTTAAGTTGGGGAAAAGTGAGTGTTTGGTAGACTTGAGATGACCAGAACTCCTAGCTCAGGATGAGTTAGAGGTATTTAATGATATGATTAGAAAGCCCTTGGAGATATCTTTCCATTGCAACCGAGTTTTCACGATTTTGATATCGTATGAGTGAGACATTTCTTTTGTAAGTTAGGTTATTGGATTAAGGATAATCTAATCGGGATTTGGGAAGGGCAAATTTGTCTTTTCCATACCCTTTTATTTTATTTCCTTTTTGGTAATATTCTTAGGGTTTAAACTGATAGGGTCCAGTTTATACTTTTACCAAAGAGTTAGGATTTTGAGAGAAGAGAAAAGAAGAGGTTAAAAGAGGAGAAAGGATAAGAGGAAGCAAAAACGTTCAAGATCGTTGAAGTTTGGCTTATGGAATTCATCGGGAGTGATCCCTAAAAAGGTATGTGAGATCTTTTCGTGTTGGGTTAGTTCACCCGCACACCAACTTGTTTAATTCAGAAATTTTGAGTAGATTGAAAATGATTAAAGTGAAATTCTGGAAGAACATTGTTGAATTCATGTTGGTTGAGTTGTTGCATGTCTAGAGTTGATTTGATTCATGTTTCCAGGTTGTTTTTTAAGTCTAATATATTGGATATTGAGGGTATGAGTGATACTAACTATTTGGGAAAACATCCATGGAAGTTTGGAGGGTTTAGAGATGAAAAACAGAGATGGAAAGTCGAAATGCACGTCCGTAGGGCCGTAGGACATCGCATCTCCCATAGCCCCATAGTACAGTCTCTATTCGTAGGGCCTTTGGGAAGCGCACCAGCCAGAGCACCCCAACTTGGACTCTGAAGTTTGGGACATGGAGCCCCACGCCTCTAAGAGTTCCAAGTATGCCCGTTCACCCCATTTATTCCCTATGTTTTCATACTAGTTCTTAAGTGATGTACCACATTTTCTAGTTGATTCCAACACTCTAAGGTACATCTAAACATCATGGAATCATCCATAAACATGAGATCATGAACCTTGAATCTATAATTCAGTTCAAGGAAAGTTAATTAAGACCAAAGTCAAAGAAGGTAAGAGTCAATTGTAAAAGTTAAGAAGCAAGTCAAAGCAAGTTTTTAAAGTTTCCAAGAGTCTTTAACAAACATTTTAACCTTGTTTTAAAGCTCAAGTTACAAGTAAAGCGCAACAAAGTTATTTTTAAAACATACAACAAAAGTATATTTTTGGATGTAGTATTTAACACTGATATGGGGATGCAAATTTAATATTAACTCAAAACCATGTTGCCATCATGGATAGAAAAGGGTCATACTTTTTAGATGAATCATTTCAACAGTTCACTAGTAGATCTATTAGGTAGTTCAGGTCTTATACTATGGCAAGGTTAGGATGGTCCTTGGCAGCATGAGGTAAAACATTGTATCATCACTATAACTATTAAGTGATGATTTTCCGTTAGAGAAACTCCCACAACAGTAGTTGCATGGTTCTTCAAGGGGCTCTGTATAGTACGAATGGGGGTATAGGACTTCATTCATGCATTGCACGAGTAAACTTCTAGAGGAAGCATGATGTCTTTTATTAAGATTATGAGTTTACATCAGATTATTTTGTACTTTTACATACATCTCAGAGTCGGTTGTATCCTTGCATACAAAGAGTTGAAAACTATGTTTTAAACAATTTTTCTTATATTGAACATGTATTTAAACTACTATATAATGAAATGAGTCAGTTATATTGAGTTATGTCATACATGAGTAGAGAAGAGCCAAGGTAAGTGTTTCTTCTTACTCCTTTTCAAACTTAAGTTGTTGTTTAGAATTCGAACTCATATACTCGTACATTCAATGTATTGATGCTAGTTTTCCTGCATCGTATCATGATCCAGAAACAGGTAACTAGGATCGGCTTTTGGGGCGCCGTTTATCCAGTGAGCGTCTCAAAGTCTGTTGGTGAGCCTCCCCTCATTCCGGAGGACTCTTTTATTGATTTCCATGTTTTTACTTATAGAATTTTGTAGGGTTTATCCCAACATCCATATATGATATTTAGGCACCTATAAACAATGATTGTATTTGGTGTTTGGTGAGAACTTCAATTCTCATTTATATTTACCAAGTGTAAGAATAAATGTTTCTTTAATTTGTCGGGACCGTGCTTGCACATGCATATTCTATCTAGTATATCTACAAATGATCTTAGTTATGGTGTTGTGTCTACCTAAACTGAACTTGTGCATATTAGTTTCATATGTTTCATGTGTTATTTTTATTCTTTTAATTTCTGCTCCTCCCACGCATTACTAAATGACTTTGAAAAAGATTCACCATTAAAAATATATGATGCTGTGACCGTGCTCACCATACTCTATGTCCATCTTTTATATATATAGACCATTAATGTTTTGAACAAACGGTACATGCCTAAATGGTAAAAGTCAAATTAAACGTGTTCACCGTTCCATACCAACAATATCAACATAACCACATTTTAAATCATTACAACTACCTGACCCTCACACGACAATCATGCATTGTCCACATTGTATCACAAAAATCATAAAGAGAGTTCAAGGTTGGAATGTAAGGATTCATGTACTGTAACATCCCGTCTTAGAAAGAGATAAACTTAAAAATAACTTATTGGGAAAGAGCTAATTTGAAATTTGTTCAAGTGAAGCGCAAGTAGTGAGTTTTGGTTCAACTCCAAGCGACTATATGTACATGATTATTTAGGTGGCCCATAAAATATTAAATGAAAGGTCCTTGAATCTTATTTTCAAAGCCATCGAGTTTGCTAAATTTCAAGTTTGGATGAGGGAGATATGACTATTTGAAGTTAGTCTGTCCAATTGAGGAAATTTACCCAAATTGATGAGGGTATTTTGGTCTTCTCCTTACCTCACCAGCTTTAAATATTTTTAGTATTATTGTAGGGTTCTAAACTGATTTAATTCAGTTTTCAAAATCCTAACATACGCTTAGAGTTTTGATGGGAAGTCAAGTAGAGAAAAGAGGACATGTTCAAGGCGTTCGTCAAAATTCTTGATATTTGTTGAGGAATTTCGCCAAGATTTTTTATAACTAAGAGGTATATAAGTTCACATAGTGTGGGGTTCGTTTACCCATACATTAATCATGTGATTTTATCCGTAATTTCGTTCTTGAGGTGGAATGATTAGAGTTCTTGATGAGTTTTCTGGAAGTTCTGTTCTCTAATCATTATGATGAGTTTGATGAGTTCTAAAGATAAATATGAGTTTGAAGGTTGTTTTTGAGTAGATTTTTCAGTACTTATGTTGGGTATTCAAATTAAGTGGGTTTGGAAGAAATCATTCGGTTCTAGGCAAATTAGGGCCAGAAATCGAGAAGAATAAATTGTTAGAACGTTCTAGGGAGGGGCTGGGGCGGCGCACCCAAGATGCGCTAAGAGGGACAGAGAAGCGCGCCCGCATTAAGCCAAAAACTAGCCCTAGTAACTACATGGTTGGTGTAGAGTGTCAGGGATGCGCTGAGCGTCAACCCACTTTTCTTTTTGTTCTTCGATCAGTACTTGATCCTTTAAATCGAGCTTTCATTCCTTTCTTAATCGGAGCGACCTAAAATATATTCAATCATCACAAGATCCTTCATTTCATGAATCATAACTTTTAAATTCACAATTTAATTTCAAGAAATAATTAAGAGTCGAGTTTGAGAGAGTCGTTTGAGTTATTTTAAGAAGTGTTTTACAAACTTTTAAAACTTGTTTCTTAAGACGTGAGTACTTGAGAATGAGGATAAGGAGAATTGAGTTATTTCTAATTTTTTATTTTTATCATTTTTATTTTTATCATTTCTAAATTTTCATTTACAAATTATTCCCACATGTACTTAAATCTACGATGATAATTGATTTTATTGTTTTCAAATTTTTGAATTTGAATTGATTTAAAAATGAAATGTCATATATATATTTTCACACTATATGCATAATATAATGTTGGTGGTTCTTGTAATGTATTAACTCGATATAATTAATATTAAAAAATATATTAATTATTTAATAAAAAATTTATTAAGAAGTTTTTAGTACAAACTTCTAAATTTTTTTGTCATTGTTAAGTTATACGTATTTACTAAAGAATAAAATTTTTCACATATTTAGAAAGACTTAATATATCTAAAAATCCATAAAATAAAGGGAAAAATACATAAAAACACCTTAAACTTGGCAACATAATTTACTTCAACCCTTAAACTACACGGGCATAAGTAAGCCAGGCCAAGGGTTCACTTGGGGCAAACAATGGTTATCGAGTGCCAGTCTCGCCGAGGATGTAAGCTCGAGGCATGAAAAACTTGGTATGAGAGCATAAAGTTCAAGAGACCTAGAGAATCTATGAAGTCGTGTTTGTAGAGTCCTAGTTACCGGTGTGAAGCACTCCACATCTATAATTAGGAGGCTGCAAACATTTAGGAAATTACTCACGTCTTTCGTATCTCTTTCATGCATTAGATTTTTATCTCAAATAAGTTTCTCTCTAACTTGTGCTTGCGCGTATTTTCATATAATCATGCCTCAACAAAGAGCAGTAAGAGGTAATCCAAGTGGGAGGAATGTTGAACTGCAGAAACAAGAGTTACCCAATGCACCTGAATTGCAACCTCAAGGTAAAGTTACCAACATTGAATTCTGTGTTGGGCTATTGCCCATGTTCCAGCAAAAGGCCCATGGCCTAATCCTACTTGGAAAAGGATTGAAATTATTCTCTTTATTTGGTTTCCAATTCTATTAGGAAAAGGATTGGAATAGTAATCCTATTTGTAGTTGGTTTTGCCTTTATAAGGAAAAGCACAACTCTATAAATAGAGGATGGTTTTGAGAGAATAATTAATTGCTCATTGGTATTGTCTTTGAAAGACATTAGAACATAAGAGAGGTTTTTGAGAGAGCTTTCAACAAGAGAAAAAGAGAGAAAGAAAAGGGTTTTTTGCTGCAGTCTTTTCTCCGACAAGTCACGTTCAGATCATGTTTTCTGATTAACTAACCGTTGGATATGGCTGAAATTTGGACTGAGTGTCCCTGACATCTTTGTGGTAGATTTTAACGGTGGAGATCGGATTTGGAGGTCATCAAGATCCTATTTTAGGTCCCGAACAGAAGCTAGGTTTAGGGGGTATTTCTTTCTATTTATCTTTTCTTGGTGTAGCTATTATTTGTTTTCTTTTGGCACTTGTTGTGTAGTCATTAGAAGAATATTTGTAACCCACATTTTTTTATAGTGAAGCAGTTCGGATATTGTCGATCCTGTGGTATTTACCTTCGGGTTGAAGTGTTTTTTGGACGTTAAACTTGGTGTTCTTTATTGTTAGATTTTTCGGTTTCATCTTTTCGTCAAAACAACTTGTATCAAAGCCAGATTCAATAATGGAGTCAGGTTCACTGGTTCGATAATCGATGATTGAACCAGGTTAGAAAGAGGTGTTCATCTTGGCGGGTGTAGTTCTAGCTGCAACAATTTTGACAGTAATGAAGATTTTGTTAGAGAAATTGTTTCAGAGAGGTTCTCTGTGTTAGACATAGATTTTGCAAAGGAGATTATGGAGAGGAGAAGCAAGTTGTTGAAGATTAAGTGAAGAAGGTGGACAAATTTATTTTGTTAGAAATTCAGGCCAAGGGGGAGATTTGTTGGGTTTTTATTTGCCCTTATTTTTTTTTTTACCAAAAATAGGTTTTCCTTTTAGGAAAAAGTTTTAGATTGACTAATCCTTTTATTGCAGGAAAAGGTTTAGGACTCTATAAATAGAGGAATGATCTTTTTAACTTAATCAGCATTCACAATGTAGTCTTAAAGGATTTGAGAGTTTTTGTTAGGGGAGAATTTGTGGGTCACAAGCTTGATACGTTATCACATGTGTGAACCTCCCATGTATTCTGAGTGAATTGGTTGAGGTTGTTTCTCTCTGTATTTTTTACTCTCATATTTATAGTGGATTGCTCATCTCCTTTGTGGACGTAGGTTGATTGACCGAACCACGTTAAATCTTTGTGTCTTTTGGTATATTTCTCGTTGTCTTCTTACTCTTCGTCTTTCGAGGTTTGCTTTGCTAGCTTCCGCATTTACACCTGCTTATTTCCGGTCCTAACAACTGGTATCAGATCTACATTCAATGATGGATTCAGATTTAGTGGTTCGATATTCGATGATTGAACCAGGTTATAAAGAGGTGTTCATCTTGACGGGTGTAGTTATAGCCGCAACCTTTTTGACAGTAATGAAGATTTTGTTTGAGAAATTGTTTCACAGAGGTTCTCTATATTGAGACATAAATTTTGCAAAGGAGATTATGGAGAGGAGAAGCAAGTTGCTGAAGATTAAGTGAAGAAGGTGGACAAATTTATTTTGTCAGAAATTCAGGCCAAGGGGGAGATTTGTTGGGTTTTATTTGCCCTAAATTTGTTATAGGTTTTCCTTTTAGGAAAAGTTTTTGGATTGACTAATCCTATTTCTAGTAGGAAAAGATTTAGGGATCTATAAATAGAGACATGTTCCTTCTAACTTAATCAGCATTCACAATGTAGTATTAAAAGCTTTGAGAGTTTTGGTTAGGGGGAGAATTTATGGGTCACAAGCTTGATACGTTATCACTTGTGTGAACCTCCCATGTATTTCGAGTGAATTGGTTGAGATTGTTTCCCTCTGTAATTTGTACTCTCATATTTATAGTGGATTGCTGATCTCCTTTGTGGACGTAGGTCGATTGACCGAACCACGTTAAATCTTTGTGTCTTTTGTTATATTTCTTGTTGTCTTCTTACTCATAGTCTTTAAAGGTTTGCATTGCTAGCTTCCGCATTTACACCTGCTTATTTTCGATCCTAACAGTATTATATTGTATGATTTTCATTAAATTTATGATATTAATGAAGTTGGAACTTAAACCTATGCTTGGAATTTGGAAATATACTAGTTGATATGGTAATTGACATCAAGATTAGGAACATGATTATATATTTGAATGAGTTGTGGGTTTAAGCTAGATATATAACATATGATTGTTGATTGTATTGGAATCTTATGAGTATTACATATTTTAATAGATTGCATTTATTTGGAAGTCCAACGAAAGGGCATCACTCAAGTCCCTGAGTAATTGTTTGACCTTTTTAGGCAAGTGAATTTCTTACCCTCATTAAGTGTATGAAATTCATGTATTTCCTTGTTGTATGTTTTTGGGGTAATGGGACTTGGTGAAGGGTTGACTTGTTCACATTGATTAACTCTAATGATGAAAAAGGGGTAATAAAATGGAATGGGATTAATTCTTCTTTGATATGTTGAGAATTTTTGTGGCGGGCATTGGTACGAATATCGGTGTTATAAAGGGAACATTTATTACTATATAATGTGAATTGTAATCCGATAATGCCAAAACATATGGACATTAACTGATATATTATTGACTTGACTTATTATGTTTGATTATGTTCTTTATTAAACTCGTATACTTGTGATAGTTCAGGTGATTACATATCATATTGATATTTGATTAAGATGTACCATCCCTTTCATTGGAATCATATTATGCACATGAATTGACATGTGATTTAGT